GCCTTACTCTCCGTTTTATTTGTTGTGACCTTGCAAACTCCTGGGAGACAAAGTAAGATCAAAGGCTTTGAGTGCTCAAGTCTTACTGGGTTTCCTCCACAAGGCTTTATTCAGATCACACGGCTCTTCCACAAGGGTTTTTGTCTTTTCAAAATGTTATCGCTCTAACACACACATACGCAGGCAAAATAACAGACACACACGACCAAAATACAATCTTCAGTCAGAAACTGGGACAAGCATAATAGACTTAAAAATGCTGAGGCAGAGAAACCCTTGTCACATGGTGCTTATAGTTGCCTTGCTCCTTTGCTGTAAGTTTCACACTCTAGGTTAAAAGAAACCCTCAAACCGCAATGTTGAAAATAAAAAAAAACAAACCCCAAAACAAAAATACTTCAAAGTTAAAACTGGATGTGTTTTAACTTAGTAATTCAAAAATTACTTAATAATTTTTCTCTGACATATCCACACAAATTGCCTCATTTCTTTTACCAGCATCTACAAAATCACTACTGTGAGGCTAATGAGACACAATAATTGGAAATTTTACCTGACATTTAGAAATGAAAGGGATATCGACTCCAACTAGACTGTACACAACAAAATAAACACTACTTGGTTTCTCAATGAGCCTTAGTTTTCTTTATCAGCTAACTGCCTGTTGTACTTACTGAATACCAACGGTAAGAAAATAAACTTGCCAGCAGGTAGTCAATGACCATTAACCAGTGTATTATAGCTCTCAGCTGGATGACCTTTGACTCCTGTTACTACACTTTAAGGCTAATCTTCCAGGAAAAGGCCTGGTAGTACTCCCAAAAGCAGCACAGAGGCTCTCAAATGTGATTACAGTTTCAGATTGACCTGAGGGAAACTGTACTGGCTGCCTCAAAACGGCTTATTGATCTACCACACACACATGCTTACTTGTGCGAACAAACACACATGCTGATATGCTTCTCTGTGTGTGTGTGTGTGTGTGTGTGTGTGTGTGTGTGTGTGTGTGTGTGTGTGTGTGTGTGTGTGCGCAAAGCCAAAAGTGCACTTATGAAAGAAATGAAACCTATTTTATTCAAGTGTTGGACTGAATGTTCTTTCCTATAGTAGCTTAAAATCAGACATACACACACAAATGCACAAAACACATAGCATCTGGGTTGGAAACATGAAGCTGAGCCTTAAATCTGCATTCTATCTAAAGGCCACCAGATGGCGATACTTGTGGTTGCAATAAAGATTTCCTGTCTTACAGACGTTGATGGGAAATCAGCTGACCTCTGGGTTTATGGGCCCAGTCACGCATTTTGAGTCTATTTTGTAAATTTTGTTCATACCATGTTTCAAAATGGAGGATTACCTGTGGTATGAAACCACGCAGTCATTGGCTTACAACTTGTCATTACCCAATGAGCACGCAGTTTCACAGTCAGACCCACCCCTTCCTGCCATATCCGTTTTTTTCCCCCTCTAGCAAAGATGGAAACGCTCATCTTGAAGCTTCACAGCAGGACTTCAAAACCCAGTGCGTAATATCACAAATACAACATTACATCATACATATGCCCACATACCAGGAAAAATCTCTACTCCAGTAAGGACTTAATCTTCAATCTGCATTTGTAGTATAAACTGTTCAAGGTCAGTCTGCTTGAATGTTCTTCCATCCATCCTCTTCCGCTGATCTAATTCAGAGCTGTGAGGGGACCAGTTGCCATAGGCTGAGTACATCCTGTACAAGTCGCCTGTCTGTCGCAGGTCTACTTGACTATAATCAACACCCAACTTTTCAAGGTTAACTAACAAATAGCTTTGTTAGCAAAGTCACCTTTGTAGCATTTAGCTTTTCATGTTCATCCATCACACATGCACTGCAGCAGCTGGTTAGATTCAGGGTTCACCGAGTTACTGCTATAGGCACACTCGAAGGGAAACTGAAACATATTCAAGAACATTTTCTTTCATTATAGACACAAACTTCTTTGTGTCTTTCTCCGTTCATTTCCTTACACACCTTCTCTTGCCGTCGCTCTCTTATGCAGAGTCAGACTATCGATGGCATTGCAAATGAGTCACGAGCCTCTTCTCCTCGCATTCATGGAATATGTGCTGAATATTTCTAGGTCACATACTCTGACATAAAACTAATATTCTGAGCAGTGTCACTTATGATGAGTCTCCTTCTCTGCCAGTTCACCTCATCACACTTCATCCCTCAAACCTCTTAGTGCGCCCTTCACTCACTCACTCATTTACCCTCCTTTTCCCCTCCTTCTTCCTCTACTTTATTACTCACACGCTCATTTATTCACTTTTCGTCTCTCTTCCCCTGTCCTCACGCGTTAATATATGGTTGTAGAATGTGTTTTAAGAGTCTGGCAGGCGAACAGATGGGAAAAAAAAAATCATAACACCCACTACTTTGCGTGCTTCCAGCTCTCGGACAAAGCAGACCTGCAGAAACGCGAAAGCATGCTGCACTGGGTTTGCATGCACGGAACGCAAAACGGACTTTTGTGTTGAATAATGAGGAAAAAATGTTTATATGGGTGTCCAAGTTTCGGAAAGAAAGGTGCGTGTGTGTGTCTCTGAAAAGCAGGCCAAAAATGTTTCGGTGTGTTTCTGTGTTTGTGTATATTACGTGCTTGTCAGCTGTTGGCATGTCTTTGTTTGGGAAGATTTAATTCCCATTCGCATGGCTTCGGCTCATTATTCATCAGACATAGTGCTCCAAACCTCTCTAGAGGGCTCAGTATGCTGGGAGATTAAACAACGCAAATGAGCACGAGCACACGCTTGCGCACTCACACACAATTAAAAAAAAAGGAGAGAAAGCAAACTCTGCATGCATACACACATAAATAAACTCTAAAACACACACACACACACACACACACACACACACAGAGCCACCACATTAGCAAAGCACTGACAGGCAAACCCGCACACAAACAGGAACAGATATGTCAAACTTGTTTCAATCTGTCACTGTCAAACAAAAAACCTATTAAGAGCTTTGTGACCAGAGGTTAAAAAAAGAAGCATTTACAACCTTGTAAAACAACAACATTTACTGTTCTGCTTTTGAAGCACAATCTCGCTTGTTGCCTGCCTTGTTCATGAGATTTTAGCCTTTTTTTTCCCCCATTCTTTTTCCTCCCCTCATCTCCGGCTCTTTATCTTCCTCCTCCTCCTCCTGATTTCAATCTCTCCCCATCAAACTCAACCACGCACACACCACCTAATGGAGTGTGTCAGTGTGCTCAGAGTTGGCTAAGCATGCACTCAGAATTGCGAATCAAGGCTGCGGCGCTACTTAATGCCTCAAAAGTCATCTGTAATGCACGGGCATGTGTGTTCACATGCCATTCCCGCACTGGAATAGGAAAAGACAAAGCCTTTTTTCAGATTCCGCCTCCTGTCCCATACACTTTTATACAGACACAGTGATGCTGTATAATACAATCATCACTTTTGTCACTTACATTGGAAGTAAAGTTCCTCATCTCCCTCTTGAGAAGCCTTACTGTAGCCACATTGCCTGCGAAGAAAGAGAGAGACGGTCATCAGAGAGTTTCTTTTTAATCCCACTTAGCAGACACAGGTAAATGGCAGAATCAGCTGCTCTTTATCTTGAGCCATGGTTATAAGTAGTAACTGCCAAGAGAGAAGAAGCAAAAATGAGAATATTGATAGAGGAGAAAGGATGTGGAGAAGCATTCATAAAGACCCCTAAAGTGTTCACTCATCAGAAAAGTCCGAGGCTCAGTGCCAATCCTGCCTATTTGAGTGTGCCACCGACTCACACCAATAGCCTTGCAATTGATACACTATTGTTGTTTCACCTTGAATAACTTTTCATCCAAGAAATGAATATATATACACTTTGGCAACTGGACTGTCCTCATCCTTTGTCACCACAGGGGCCTAAAGAGGAGCAAGCTCAATAGGATCTCACTGTTGATGGCTTCTGGCTGAAAAAAGCTTCTTTTTCTTTTCTTTGCATGCAACACAAATGCCACGCACACTCACACTGTCAGTGACAAATTAACATTTGGCTGGCTACTAACAAACTTACTTAGATTAGAAAAATGGAGAAAAAACAAGACTAAAGAATTACTGAGGATATAATTAACAACATCAGAAGTTTTTCTAACAACCGGTTTCCAATAAAATATAGTCTACAAATACCAAAATATAGTATAAAAGTGTGCAAAAGTCTCAAGCCTCCTCTCATTTCTTTGTATATGCATAGGAAAACTGAAAATGTTGCGCTGACTTATTGGAGCATGCGCAAACATACATGGAAATACAACATGAAAGCCAGAAACAGAGTTTGTATAATTCAGTAATGGTAAGGTCTGGGTTTTTCAATTCAGTTGTGCTTTTACTGCATTGGCAGTGGGTTTGGTTTTAATGTCATACTGAAAAATTAAGCAGTTCCCAATCTGATGCTTTCCAGATGGCATTGCATGGCGGATCAAAATCTGACTGTATTTTGTTTTTTTGGAGTTCATAATTCCATCAGTGTTGACGAGACCTCCAACGCCACTGGCGTGAATCGTAATTTACAGATGGCTGTTGGCACTCACTCCTGTACCTCTCTCCTGATGTCATCCATAGATTTTGTTGATGATTTTAACCAAAACGATTTATTACTCAATGAGTGCCATTGCCACTGATTTTCAGTCCAGTTTTTGTATAATTTGGTATACCTGTATTTCTCTCCTAAAAATGGTATCTTGACACTACCCATTAGACCATTTCTGATGAGGCTTCGCTAAACACTAATTCTTATACACATGACTTTCAGATACTATTCATCTGCATTAGATAGTGTTTCAGGCCTGTTCCTTCTTTTGTCCAGTTTGCTCCCTTTTTTTAAGGACACACTGCAAACTATGCTAAGGTATACCAAGTTGTTTAACCAAGTGTTCAAAACCTTTTCAAAAACATTACAAGAAAGTTTCGCTCCTTGGAAGCAAAATATAAAGAAATGAGGGGTAGTTTAAAATTTCTGCATAGCACATTTAAATGCTGTATATGGAATGAGAAGGTCAAGTACAAACATCTGAAAGTTTTCTTCAAATGCCAATCTTGAGAGTGCCTCGTCCTCCAGGTCTTTAGCAAATCAGTTTAGCCTAAGCCTTTTAAAAGAACAGACGTGTATGTATATCTGCATCAATAATATCAACAAGTGAACATGGAACATACTTAACGTTCTGCTGCCATGGCTAGCAAAGACTGCTGTGGCTGTTTTGACAAAGAAGTCACAACGTGTCACAGTTAAGGCCCGAGCACAGATGACACTGAGGTGTAGATTTATGTTTAAGTACAATATTATACCTGCTCAGGCAAGCATGTGTTAATGTGAACATCATAATATATCTGCACTACACAAAGAGCTGGTGCACAGCTGAGAGGGAGTATACAGAGAGCACGACAGTCGTATGTATGTGCACATGGCAATGTTAATGTGTGGCGTTTGTGCATGAGTGTGTCTGCACAAATTCATGTGGGCGCACATGTGTGTGTGTGCGCTTTACAGGATCCTGTTATATTGCATGTGCATGTCCCCGTGAGTTTTTATAAGGAGAGACGTGGCTGAGGGTGAGGCTGACACATCCCTCAGCCTGTGTAGCAGTTGGGTCTGAGACAAGGTCAGGACCCTGTCTGTCAAAACACACCAGCAGACACATGCACCACAACTCCTCAGGGCAGGAGATATCAGACAGGAGAGAGGAGACAAGAATTAATAGATAAGGGAGCACAGCGTAAAGGGAGCAAGGGGTGGGAATGGGAGGAAGATGAGAATGGAGGGCACCACGGTACCGAGAGAAACAAGATGCAGGAGACCAAAGGGAGGAGTGGAGGTAAGGGAGCAAATAGCGAACGCGGCAAGGGGAGAAGGGCAAAGCAGTGGAGAAATCATCGAGAGAAATGAAGGAAGTACTGCTGCGACGAAGAGGCAGAGGAAGTGACATGAAAATAAGAGGTTGCGAACAAGAGGATAATTGGGAAGAAGGTTATGCAAGGAAGTTGAAACTTGAAGAGGCACACAGTATAGCCTATAAAGTAGACTGCAAGGAGCAGCGGAAGAAGCAAAGAGAGACGAAAAATATGCATCTCAGAGATTAGAAAAGTAACAGAAAAACAGAAGCTAGGACACACAGCAGGATAAATCAACCATCTAAGCCCTGTACTCATTAAATAATTGCCAGAAATTGATATATATATATTTAAAATAGTATGCTTATTGAACCTTCTGACAAATTAAAAAATAAGAGTTAATATCAATTAGCATATATGAGTTTTAATTTTTATCATATTTGCTACATCTGGCATCTTTTTGCAATTTGTTGCTTAAAAATATACATTCAAATTAGAGACAAAGTCTCAAAAACTCACAAAAACCCATGTATCAAATATGATACACTAGGCATAAGGAGTTAAAGGAGTGACAACACGCTAATAAGCATGAATACTAATACCAAATACCAAAGAAGGATGTAGTAGAAAGTAGTAGTAGCAGGAGTAGTGGTAGGGATGCATGAAAAAGACTCATAAATTGATTTATGTGACCATTTCCCTATCTTCTTCTGAAATGTCATATATGTGACAAAAATGAAATAGCAGATGCAAAGTAGTACTCATTGGAAGGTTGCTTCTTATTGAGTATGAATTCAATATGACTGGCCTTTACATTTTTAGTTTGATTTCAGATCTCGGTGGAGCGCAGTGGCGAGGATATAAATAAAACTGTGCTGAACCGCTTCATGAAAAAGGAAAGAAATGGTTATTATGATTCTCTCGGTATGAGGAAATGAAAGGAGACAGAAATGTGGGGCTAGGGGAGCAGGGAGAAAGAGACTACAGACATGCCAGTGTACCTGGGCATCAGCTCTGTGAAGGGAGGAAGAGGAGAAAGAAGAGGAGGAGGAGGAAGGGTGGAGAAGGAGGTCGAAAGCAGCACCACGCTAGCAGGAGTTACATTGGAAGAGCCTGAGCAGACGCTGCTGGGAAGAAAACAAGGAGGGGGTGCCATTGTCAATTCTGGCTCTTTTCATGAATTTAGTCATTCAACACAACTTTGGATCCAAAACAGATTTTTCTCTAAAATCTAATCACTGGAATACAGTGGATGCTATCAAGTAAACATACAGTACAAAAAAAATCATATAATATACTTTCAATTTTTGTAAACAGACCTTGCAGTCTATTTCTAAAACTAGAATTACAAGAATTCTGGACTGATTTTTAAATTTCACAACTTCAAAAGAACCAGATGGCAGAAGGAAATGTGTGGATGGAGAATGCTAAAATTTCTGGCCAAACTCTGTCACTGTCTGCTCAGCTTCTTCAAATGTTAGCTTTGGCAAGACTTCTTTTCTCTTTAAGCCCTATTCATGAGCAGATATGTTCTTTGGGAGGGGGGAAACAAACTTTTCATGTTGATTGACACTTCATTATTCACATCTGTGAAATCCTGTCAATTTAATTGAGCTATGCCAACAATTCTATTTTTGACAAATCTGCATTTTCATTTCCTAATATTATGTCATATGCATGAAGTGGATGGAATTTCTGTTTTAAATGCCACACAATGTTTATTTAAGACATGTTTCACAACCTTTGCAAAAACCTTAATGTAGAATCTCTGTAAAACTCAACTAGCAAAACTACTGCATTAAAATTTTGCTGCTATATTTAACAAATTAGTAGATTTTCCTTTTGGTTATGTGAATAGCATTAACTATGGAAGAAGAAATGTTGATTGTTCTAGTTGTATGACATATAGTTATTGCAATGAATGGGTTAAGTGAGGTTTTTTTTTAAAGATAGTTTTAGAGAAAAATGTTCTACACAACAACAACAACAAAAAAAAATCTGAGTACCCTGATTAACCATTTTGGCAAAACCGGTTATGTTAGCTGGAGAAGACTAAAAGAAACCAGGGCACCAATGAATGTATGCGTCTTATCCTGGCATCTGATCGATAGCCAATTAAAAACCACTCCCTTGTCATGTGTGGATAGAGTGAGTGACAGCTTGATACCTGTCAAAGTGGGGGACATGTTTAATATTTATTGATGCTATCATCTCACCTCATCTTATGGCTGGCAATAAAGCTAAAGCTCCTACAACCTTAGCATTGCAAACGAAACACCCAAGTAGCCTTATTTTAAAAGGTCCATCCTTCCATCTTCTTCTAATTATCTACCTCATCTTCATCATAGGGGAGCTAAAGCAGATATCACAGGCCAAGATTCTTGCCATGTTCCAGACACCTCAGAACTCAGATGTCAGGACTTGTGAGCGACATTATTCCCGAGTTAGCGGATTCTTAGCATAGTCAAGCTATTAGAGCTAAAAAACATATTCAGAGATAAAGACTAGTCACTGCTCTGCGTATGACTTAATGAGTTGAAAATACAAAACAGTGGCAGTACAGATTAAAAGTTTACAGCTTTACTATTGTTTATGTTCAGTGCCGCCATCTTGGATTGATAACTCGGGGGTACGTTGTTCTGCTTCAACTTTCCGAGTGGGAGTTGAGGGGGTGTTACACAAAAAAAATCCGAGTTATTCGGGGAACGCAGGGCTCCCATCAGACAGCCGTCCACGCTCACATTCACACTTACAGCCAATTTAGAATCACCAGTTGACCTGGTGTGTGTGTGTGTGTGTGTTTGGACTGTGGGAGGAAGTTGCTGCCCAGAGGAAGAAAATGCAAACTCCACACAGAAAGGCCTCAGCTGGCTGGTCGAGGATGCCAGAATAGTTTGATAGGTTTTGTGTGTGCCTTTGCTTAATTTAATCAATTTCTATGGCAACTTCAAAAATCGATCATAATTATAAAATTAGTAATAACATGCACTTTTATGCAGCTGTACATTTTTAGGTACAGTCACTCACACTTTAGGGTGAGAACTTTAAAACAAAATAGGAGATGGATGTCATGTAAATTATGCTGCTTCCATGTCAGCTCTTTCAACTCCGTGCCTAAATATCCTAGAATAATGCAGGTGCAGAATAATAGGTGAGAGAGCATGAATAGAATCCTAGCTGAGGTATTAGGCCAGAGGAGATTTACAATATGTATGGCAAAATGCATGTAAAATTAGGTAATTTAAAAAAAAAAAAAAAAGAGAACACTTTAACTTTTATCCATTAGTATAATGAGATTCACTTTATTCCACTGCTGAGTTTTGCTTTACTCGGATGAGCCCTGCTACCACATAAGTATCTCTCCCTTGGGGCAGATAAATAGTGTTACTCTAAAACCTACTCTCACACAAAGATAAAGACAAATATAGTTTCAGCTTCATTTGTAAGTTATTACTTACAAAGGTGTTAATTTAAACACTATCTGGTGAATAATAAACAGCAAGACTGACAAAATGGCTTTATGCATAAGTAACTTCCAGACATAAAAGCACTGATCTGTTCAACACATGCATGCACCTATACACTGCTGTGTTTGAGACCTTTTTTCTTAGCTTCCCCATCTCTTCCCCTTTGAATCCTACTTTTTTTTTTACTGTGTCACCAAGTGTCATCAGCCCTATGAAATGACCCTCATCTTTAATTTCCTGCTTCTTTCTTTCTTCTTGAACTCCTCTCCATCCTCTGTTCTTGATAACTTGTAACTCACTCACCAGACACCAAAACACACACACGCACACACACACACGCACACATTCAATCAGAAGACACAGAAACGCATGCTGGTGTGGCTGGTGAAGGGTAAACAATCCTTGCACTGACCAGTCAAGCCTGGGCTTCCTGGAGAATGTTTGGGCAATGCCCTGGAACTCTGGCTCTATCAAACTCTGTCAAGCACCACTGGATTCTTTGTGTATGTGTGTAAATGATAGGATAGAGCATCAAGGTGAGGTTTCAAAGTGAAGAAAATACAAAATACCCTCTCTTATCTCATCACGCCCCCTCCACTTTTCATCTGTTTTTATTACCACTTTATGTTAATAAGCGTTCATAATAATTTGTATGTCACTGTAAGTGACTATGACTGATGATGAACCTGTGCTTAAATAACATCTTTATAATGGTGAGACTGAGCTGCAAGAGTTTCTCAGTTCATCAGTAAATGTATTACCATAAAAGCAATCAGCAACTATTTTGAGATTTGATTGAGCCTTAAAGCAATTTTCTTGCATACGTAAATTGCAAGATAATGGGAAGCAATTCTAGGGCTTCTGGTACAAAAATGCTAAAATATTCTTTGTTTTAATAGTAACTTTGACTATTAAACTTAATCAGTAGACTGCTATAGGTTGTCCAACACAAGAGATCTAAAGACTAAGAGAATAGTCGATGCAGAAAGTTAAATACACCAATTATGCGGTAAAATATGGCACAATCTGTTGTAGTGGTGTACCCACATATGGTAATTCATACCAACTCACAGAAAATAAAATCACTGGTCCTGTCGCCCTCCCCTCACCTCAAACCTTTGCTGCACCAAGTTCTGCTGGAGGTTTCTCTCTGTTAAAAGGGAGTTTCCCCTTCCCACTGTTGCCAAATGCTTGCTCATAAGGGGTTGTCAAATAGTTGGTTTTCTCTCTGTATTATTGTAGCGTCTTTACCTTACTTGGCCTGATATGACGCTTTGTAAATAAAATGGAATAATTTCCTTTTTTTTGGACTCTAAGAGCTGCAGGAACAGAAGGGGTTAAGAGGAGGGAGAGACAAACCCCATGTCCATTACAGAGGCACAACTAACGCACTCTATATTAAAAGTGAAAAATGAAGTAGGTTTGAGGACCGTGCATAGCATCAAGGGCACATCCATAAATGTGATGTGCCATAAATGCATTTCGCTGCCAGTGTCCATCCATGCCTTTATGTGTGTGCAGTGGAACTCATTTGCATGTGTCTGTGTGAACAGGCAGATCGATGTAACTGAGACCCTCCAGCCATAGCTGTAAGCTGGCTGTCTTTGCGAACACGAACATGGTAATTGAGGCATCACACCATTCTCCCTTTGTCTCTATGCAAAACATGAAGAGCTTGTTAATGGTCCAGCAGCGATGAACAATGGAGACCACTTGCAATGAATGCAGTGATGGAAATAAAAGAGTAAGATAACCATTATTATTCACTGTGAGGCTGTGCACAAGGGCATGATGCTGCCTTCCTCAAAGCAAGAATTTATTTAAATACTTGTGCTGTGTGTGTGTCAGAGTATGTGTCTACTGAGAATAAGCACCTTGTTGAATTTTATGCTTTTCCTACTACAGTGCTGTTGTCTTCACTTGACTATGTCTGCGAATGTTTGTACATCCATTCCTATATTTTCCTTTAAAAATGTTTGACTGATATCCACCAATGTGTATGACGCTGCTGTGAATGAACAGGACCCAGTTTTTCGCCCAGCTGAATCCATCATTGCCCCGTTTGTCTGGATCTTGAATTGGTCGTGGTGTCTATAACACAGCCCCTCTTTATACACACATACAGAGAGTGTAGCTGTGGAAAAAGCCCACTTTACTTTGTATGGCTGAGAGTGCAGCTTCAGTGAAGATCAGTGTATCCATGTGTGTGTGTGTGTGTGTACGGAGAAAGAAAAGAGGATGAACAAAAGCTATACAGACAAATCTTTGCACAATGTGTTGGAAAATCTCGCTGGACAGACTGAACAGTTGAATTGCAGCCAAATGGAAGAAGAAAAAAACATATGCGTGCATGTGTACTGTGTGGGAATAGATATTTGCCCTCTACTCATGTGCTGCATATATGATTGAGAGTACAGTAAGAGTTGCGAGTCTGTGTGTTACTGTGTAGGCGTATTTGAGGTGAGATGGTAGAATTCAGAGTTGGGCATGAGTCAAAGAGCAACATGTTTGGAACAAGCAGAAATCCACTCACTCCCTTTGTCTGCTCAGCTGAATAAAACATGTAACTACACAACAAGATATTCAGCTTCCATATCATAAAATCATTTAATGTTTAACAGTCAACACACTCAAGTCTGGCAAGTTATGTTAATATGTATTCGTCAGTTATTATGATTGCCTACATTGTCTTTAGCAATATATTGCAATGCATGAGCCTGTGGCACCAATGTAGTCATTGCAGGGAAATGTGCAGCAACATCTACTAATCACCTGAGGACTAAAAGTCCAATTAATTACTTAAACACCTAAGCTCACAATGCCCCACTTTACAATTTTTAAAAACATTCCATCATAACAATTATCTTATCTAAATTGCGTCATTAAAAATGACCCAAACTGAACCTAATTGTACCAGACTGCCACTTTAAGCCCAGCTGTACTAAAAGAAAACAGAATATAATAAATAAATAAGTAACAATAATAACTATAATAATTTGAAACAAAAATTGAATTTAATTAAACTGAGCAATATGCAGAAAAAGATTTCCCTGAAGCGTGAAGAGTAATTTGCATTAGCTGTGAGTCATTTTGGTTTAAGGTTAAACGTTAGTTCAGTTTAACAGTTTTTTATCCTTACTGAAAAAGGTAGAGTAATAAAGCTGAACGTTCCACTCTCATTATAAAACAACGTTAAAAAAAGACCCTTTGATTCAGTGTAAACCCAAGAGGTAGAGCGAAATCACTTTGCAAACCATGTGTCTGCCGTTATACAAGTGACACTACCTAAACCTTTCATCTCAGCTGTTTTAAACAGCTCCATTTCTCTATGTGGAAACTAATTAGAGAGCAAAGAACTATGAACTTCGAGCCAAAAAAATGATCAAAGAAGGTTTTGACCCTGCCAACATTTTCCCCCGGGTGCGGACAGCGCCATTATCAAGCTGATGTCTTTATGTTGCATATTAAACGATGGTGAGCGTGGCTGCACAACACAGAATCACTGTTAATGTATAGTCCTTTTACAGGATCCTCTCTTACAGACAGATTACTATAATCTGGATTAAGATGGAGCTGCATGTGATGGTTAACTTAATATGCAGCTGAATCTATGATGCGTACGAAGTGTGTAAAAAGATACTAAAATCTGGGAAGGCCTTCACGAACCATAGGGAGTGGCTAGTGACTTAATCTACTGTGTGCATGTTTACATCAGTATATTCATATCTACCTCCTCCAGATGAGCAGTCCAGCTCCCATGGAGAGCAGCATAATGAGGGCAGCCACAGACACGACAACAATGATCACCACCGGATTCTGTTCACTGGACGCCAGTGCCACTGCAAATAACAAAACATAGTTATTACACATATAAACAAACACACACACACCTTAACCGAACAACATAAGTAGCAGTTATGAGCCTAGGAAAGAATCACAGGGACATTTGTGCACATGATCTTGCTGACATTCAGCTGAAGAAGAACACGAGCTGAGGACAAATTATGAAGAAATCTTTTTTTGCTTTAGTAAACAAGAAGCACTGACATCAACAGAACAGCCTCATCTTTACAGTCACTGAGTAGTTGTTCTAGATGCTGTTTTATACTCTAGTGTATCAGCTGACATACAATTATGCACATTTTCATATTTTAAATATTTCTCATCCATGTTAGTTTCAAATGTTTAGAGCTCGCTGAACTCGTCTGTGTTGCAGTGGGCGCCTGCTACATCCTGTTTTCTTACACTACCTACACCTGGTTCCTCTCGCTGAACATGTTACTTATCCAAACTGCATTTTAGTTTAAACTACACCTTAAAGCACAGTTAGAGTCAAACATCCAGCCACAAACAATGCAGTAATTTTCAAGCTTTTATTGCAGGTTTAAGGTTGACAGGACGACATGTTGAGATGTGTTTTCCTACAGTTTCTTTCCTTTGTTTTCATTGTTACTTTACCTTCGTGCATGTAATGCATGATTTGGTCAGTTCTTAACTGAGTGGGAAGCACAATTCCAAGCTGTTTAGGCTTAAATGTCAGTGTTGATTAATATTCACCGTCTCCCACACAAAGTTAATTGACAGATAAATGTAATAAGCTGTATGCTTTGTTAGTTGGTGATGCAGTATGTGGGGCGATTTTATGAACCCACGAATAACAAAAACAAACTTCTTGAATTGGACAGCCAGCCAAAACCTTTAAGAAGTGTCTTTGTGCACGTCAGCACCGCTTTTAGCCACTCACACATTTGAATCTATTCTACTGAGTCTACTGTGTCAAAACTCTTTTAAGAGGAGAAACTTGTATGAGGCTAAGACAGAGACTGTTTTAACGCTGTGAGAGGGTGCATGATGGCATGTGCACAGTTCACATCACTCGTGTCAATTTTTCTGCCTTAAGCCTCAGTTACATTTTCCACGTCCACGAGTCCACTCGGGTCTGCTCGGTCTGAGTGACAAAGTGTCGTCAAAACACGGGAAGCGCGAAGGTCGGTGCAGATGTCTGTGCGCTTGGCTGTTTTTTTGTGACCGCGCAGACTTGTCAGCAGAGAACTGATATTATGGCTGCCCGGTCATCGAGTCTCCAGCTGTCCGTGTCCACAACGGAGTATAATCAAGGCTTTAGACACCTAATGGTGCCGACTGAACTCCTGATCTAATTCGCTGTATTAGAGCTTGGACAACTGTCAGTCATTCTGATACGGAGATTAATTTTTCAGCTAGATGCGATTTCGAGGTCCATGATAAAGTCACAATTGCAAGTGGTCAGATCAGGAGCACAGAGAGTGCTGGAGGTAGGACCTAAATTTGTATCAAGGAATCACAAAACGTTTCGATCACACATTAGAAAAGTTTCTGCAAAAGTAATGCACCCCTCTGGTGCGAAGCAACACCGCTATAATACTATAAATTCTCAACATTCCTCTTCCTGGAGAAATACAATGGTTGAAAAAAATATATTTGTGAAAAGTACAAGGCAAGAAACAAGAAGGATACCAGCCAAACCCTGAGGTGGCATAAGGGACACTATATCAACAGGCGCAAAGAAGAAACATTTCACGGCTTACTGCTAATATCTTGAATCTTCACACATAATCTTAGACACAGTCACATCCCATATCTGTCTCACTAGCAGCACGCCTCATTGTGTGGGCTGGCCAGGTGCCTGCACCGAACGCCTACCCAATCTGCCTGGGCTAAGAGAAGGGAGTGGGGAGAAAGGAGAGAAATCAAGGAGGGGAAGGGGGAGGAGGAATAAAACTGCTACTCACACTCGCCAAGTGTCTGCAGCTCCAGGGGAGTGCTGTACGCCCCGTAATCAATGGGCGGCGGGGACGAGGATGAGGATGAAGAGGAGGATGATGTAGAAGAGGAAGAGGACGTAGAGGAGGAAGATGAGAGCGGGGAAGAAGACAAGGCTGAGGAAGGAGCTGGTGTTGAGAAGGGGCGGATGAGGAAGACATATGTGGTGCCGGGCTTAAGGTTGTTGACACTGATCCGTGTGGCGGCAGTCTTCACAGTAGAATAACTCTGATCCTTTTGTTCCTGCAGAGATCGAAAGAGAAGTGAGAAAGAGGGAGGGAAAAAAAACAACAAAAGAGAGAAACAGGAGAGGAAGAGGTGGAGGAGTTAGACGTGTAGGAGGAATTCATTTGTGAGAGGGATCATTCGTTTCCGAGGCACAGTTTGTAATTCTGGGAGATGTGCAAGACAACTTTGTAACAAAATCAGAGGCTTCGGTAATGTTTCATTTATTGAGACAGTGTTTCAAAGAGTCAGACAGTTTGGCACGCCGAGTTAGGAGTTTTTAACTTGCTTTTAATAAGGGAGCATTACTCATTGCTTTGGGAATAAATTATAAAAATTCCAGAAGGCAGTAACAGTGCGACTCCGCGTAAAGTTTTTAGAAAAACAAATATGGTGCTCATCTGTTGATGAGAATGAGTGACACCTTCTACAATGCAGAAAAATGGGCTGAGTGAGTAACACATTCAAATAATTGCAACACTTGCTTTGTAATATACTTGGTTTTGCATGTTATTTGCAAAACATCTCCATTTAAAACAGCAAGTATAAGAAGTCTGCCATGATTGACACGGATTCTGGTTCCCAAACAATGAATTTTAAAGCTTTTGGCGACTCCTTGACTTTGTGCAGCATCTGCATGAAGTTGATCTGATGGTTTTTATGAAAAATTGAATTTTCCCCAAAAGTGTGTGTGTGAAGGTCATTGTAGTCTAAGGAGCTTGGATTTCTTTAAGTTGCTTGAAGACGTTTCACCTCTCATCCGAGAAGCTTCTTCAGTTCAGTTCCATAGGAGGTCCATTGTGCCTCTTTGGGGGACACTCCTATGGGGCTTAAATCTGGGCCTCTCCATGATTTGACCTTAGAACTGAAGAAGCTTCTTGGATGAGAGGTGAAACGTCTTCAAGCAACTTAAAGAAGTCCAGATGCTTTTCTTTCCAAGCTCCTTAGACTTCCCAAAAGCTTCTTATTAAGCTTAATCTTGGTCGGCAGGTCAGATTTTTATATGGAGCTTATTGAAAAAAAATAGCAATAAAACATATCACATCATCATGAGCTTTAGCCTAGCTCAGTAGCAAATGTTAGCATGCTACAAAGCTTATCTGAGCGTGATGGGGGAAAAAAAAAATCCCCCAAAGCATCCGTATGTTATGGTATTATTGTGGCATTATGATGTGAATAAAGCAGCCACCGTGCCCACATAGAGAGCTGCTACATGTCTATGTTTTGTTCATTTGTGAACACAGAGGAGGAAATAAAGACAGCAGAAAAGTCAGATGAATGACACACACACACACACACACTGAAATAAAAAGAGATTAACTGAGAAACAGAACGGTTGCTGCTGCATAATGAGCGTACCCTGCAGAGTGAGCTAAGCTATGTGACAAGAGCTGACAGGAGAGAACTGAAGAGGAAAATTTTGGGAGTCTATGTAGATCTGAAGCGCGCAACAACAACAGCACTCTGAGCTGACACTTTCCAAAGTCAAGTAATGAATACACCGAATTAATCATCATTAGTCATTAACAGTGTTAATCGTTCTTATTATCAATAATGTTTTCTAATTATTATTCAAATTACAAGTTTAAATAGTTCAATTTTTAAAATGTTTAACAAATCATTAAATTAAACAAGTGATTTTAAAATATCAGTAAACACCATGTGGGCTCAGACGATGACTGTGCACTGTGGTAAAAGAGACAAAGAAAGAAAGAGGCAACATGCTGACTAAACAAAGCTTTTCTTTCTTAAACTTTAATCGGGTTTCTGCATTACCTTTTCATTTCATGGCTGTTTAACAATTTTCCTGTCTTACTGTCAGTTATACTCCTTCTATCACTTAAATTCTCTTTACTCATCTGTTTCCCACATTCTGCTTTTCTTCTCCTACACGCAGTCCCACTAAGCGCTTTTTCATTTCTTTCTATCGCTGTCTTACAAGCATATTTCCAACAAGTCATTTCCCCATCTTCCTCTGTCTCAAATACCCTCTTCACCCCTCTCTTTCTATCTGTTACCACAAAAGCTTTTTATCCCTTCAAAGTACACCACTATATTCCTCTTGTTACCTCTTCTTTACCCCGCATCTTTCCCCACCCACCTCTCTTCTAGATTTGTTCCCGTCTCTCTTTTTTTCATATAAAGATCTGGGAGTAGAGCAGCAAGGAGCGGAGCTTTAATAAATATGATGAAGCATAGGGAAGAGAAGAAAATGTGAAAACTGGTGAGAGCTTGCCACAGCCAAACACAAAGACCTGGCATTGCCAGAAAACACAGTGTGTGAAAATAGACAAGTGTGAGTGTGACAGCTGTCATTTTATGTCCACGACAGATTTACTGTAAAGACTAGTCGCAATCTGCTATGCTATGCAAATGAGCATGACACGGCAGATGAAATTACAGCGGGTGTTCATGAAAGAAAAAAAAATTTAATAAAGATATTAATTTATACATTAACTGGGCTATGAATGACTCTGAAAAAATTCTGGAAAAAATGAATGGTTGCATTTGAACATATGGCCTTCTGTGATTCTGTAGGGAGTGTTAAAATGTAGCAATCTCGGCTTTTGTGGGAATAATTTTGACCTCTCAGAGTAGCTCTTTAATGTCCTTTCATCAATACAATGGTACTATTATAGTACATGTGAAAAAGAAAATGAGTAATGAAAATACAAATAAAATCTAGATTAAAAAAAGCACAAGTGAAATGATTTCAGAACTTGGAAAAATCCTAAAACAAAACAAAAATATAGAGTTTTGATATTTGTTGGTTTGGTGTAAATTTTATTACAACTTGCCTGACGAGGCATTGATGGAGGTGATTATTATTGTAATACCTGTACTGATTTTTCATATATACCTCCAGCTCAAACAGCTGAAACAAGAAAATCTCTGAAAACTGAAACTAAACTAGTTTAAAAAAAACAAAAAGTCAAACATGAAATAATAATAAAAACTAATAAAAAAATATAAGACATGAACATGAAACATAAGCCTGTTAGAGCTGTGTGGTACACGTCTGTTATAGTGGCACGGCCTCCCTGTTTATCTGCACTCTGTTCTGTACAGCAGGTTCTGTACTGCTTGTTCTTGCTATTAATATTGATAAACCTGTTATAGAAGTAAATTTGATCTTTAATATCAGCCACGAACATATCTCACTTCATTCTAATGGCAAAGAAAGAACCTCCAGAGTGCTGAACTTTTCCTCCAGTGAGTTGCTGAATGCTATTTATATCAAGCAAACACGAGAGAAATTAAAGTTTACCGCAGCTTTACTGCAGTGAGGAGTGGGTTTAGAAAATTTGACTTCTGAGGGACTCCATATGATGCATGTCATTCATTTTGTGAGTTCTTTCCACTATAGTTGGTACCTTTAAGTCTTTCCTCTCTCTCTTTGCACCGATCTGTGCATATCTAATAGTAATCTTATCTGTCTCAGGCTCTGGAGCTGCATGTTCCTGATCTGCAGTTACTGTCCCAACAAACCTGCGGGGCATTTATTATTATATTGCTTGCCGTGTCTCTGTGCACGTCTTTCATGTTTGCTTTTCCTTCATCCCACATGGTGAAAGTAGATGGCCAACCTCCCAGAGCATGATTCTGCTGGAGTTTTTCCACTTTCTTCAGTAAAACTTGTGTTTTTTTCCCCCCTCCTCTACAAATAAGACTGAATTCAGCTGATATTTATGATGAAGTAACAGCACATATACCTTTTCATAGTATTTGACTTCATATCCAGTCCGGCTGCTGTTGGGATGAGAGGGCTCTCTCCACACCAAGGTTATGCTCTTCTGTTCGATCTTCTCTGCTCGCAGTTCGCTGATAAGAGATGGTGCTACAGAGGGAAAGGAGGCGAGAAAAAAAGAGGAGAAAGCTGAGTTTAGGTATGGTGAAAATACAGTGGCTACAACTATGATGTCTACCTTGACTCAATGAGCAAAGGTTAAAGAAGGAGTACCATCAACTCTCTTAGAGAGAAGAAGCAGGCACTTATATATAGTACACCTGACAGGATTTCCAGATCAAAAGGAAGAGAGGGAAAATGTCTGCATGAGAGGGCTCATAGGAAAGTCAGGTATAAAGTATGAGAGGTAAGAGATTAAATACTGAAGCTAAAACATGTCGAAGCAGGTAGCTGCCCATGAGTAGACAAAGGCTGTCTGCCTCTTTCCGTGTGTGTGTGTGTGTGTGTGAACAGCTCCCAGATCCTGTACATCGGGATTGACAATATATCAATACCAATATGGGCTGAGTGACAAGTCTTTATTGACACAAGACAAACAGACAGAGGCACTCTTAATCTTAACTTTCTATTTCTTCTCCAGGTCTCTTAATTAAACTGACCTCACTTCAGTGTTTTCAGACTGAATCCAGAAAACTGCACTGGAATTTAGCCTGACACATAATTTGGCTCTTATTGATCACGCCAGTGCAATACATGAGGAATGATTCTGTTCAAAGCTCATCCAAATTTAGATGCAGTGCATAATGACAGTTGCTCACAAAGCAAACACTCTCATTACTGATGAAAAACTAGTTCTTTGATTCTGTGTCAACAAATGACAGGCTGCGCATAGTATGATAATCAGCAAACACCACCCACTCTTGCTTAAGTGCTAATTATACGGCTAATTATACCATGTGTAATGAAGTTGCAAAAAGGGTTGCCAGTCAAAAATACTAAGAAAAATTATGCGGTGTATTTAGCTTAAAAGGCCTTTATGTTAGGAAGGAGTGGCGCCATTAAGGCTGGGCGACAGGGTGAAGGAAGTGGCAGAGAAGTTTACGAGGGGGATTTCTAGATTTCATTTACTTAAATGCACATCAATACCTTTAATAGCATCCAAAAATATCCAATTAAGTTCCATATTTTCTGTGGTTTATTTTACTTCCCTTTTGTAGTGCTTGCTCTTTTTTTTAAACTTTAATTCATTCCGACAATAGTTACCGATTCAGTTCTTTCCAGGTCCATTTCTTCCTTATCTCCTCCTTGACCTTTAGCCATCAGTTTGTCTCATTGCTCCTCGAAAAAGGCTACACTAATGAATATTTTCTGTCTGTCACTCACACGTGAACACATGAAATACTGCACACATATACACATGCACGACCTCCTCTCAAACAGCAGGATAATAGTCATTTTAGGCAGCAGATCAAAGGCAATCTGTCAGCATTGCTCTCTCTCAGTGTCCACCTCCATCTGTCATTTTTTATGTCGCTGCAAACACAGGTATAATGCATTCTTCGTGATAACTATGTGACTTTTTGTTTCATGTTGGAAGTAAGGATGTATATCCATATGTGTGTATAGGCTGATGTCAAGTTTGCCAATGGCCACTGCAATCACAGATGCGTTTTATTTTTGCCCAATCAAGCTGAAAGAGGGAAATCCGGGCCATATGGAGACTATTAGTGTGAAAAAAGGATTCAAAAATTGATTTTTTTTCTTTTTAATACAAAAGAATCATTTACTTGGATTCAGTGATATTAACACTAGTTATCACCAACACACCAAATAAATCCAGACATTCCTCAACAGCCGTCTCAGAAGGATTCTCCACATTCGCTGGGCAGACACAATCAGTAACATCAAACTATGGGAAAGAACTTGTCAACTCCCAGTAGAGGAAGAAATCAGGAAGAGAAGATGGTGCTGGGTAGGGCACGCCTTACGCACATCGCCAACCAACATCACCAGGCGAGCTCTCAGGTGGATCCCCCAAGGCAAGCGAAAGAGAGGCCACCCAAGAAAGTCCTGGAGAGGACACCTCGAGGCAGAAGCAAAAATGATGGGCTACACCTGGACCCACCTAAGAACTGCCCAGGACAGAAATCTCTGGAGATCTACCTTTGGCGGCCCATACCCTGGGAGGTGTGACAGGCAGTAGCAGTAATAGTAGTATCACCAAGATATTAATACTCACCGAACACTGTATTAGTTAAACCTTGCTAGAACCTGATAGGAGGATCTTTTGCCTTGAGTACTGCCTTAATTCTTCAAACCATAGTTTGGATTAAACAAAATGCTGAAAACACTCTTCAGAGATTTTGGTCTCTGGTGACACGACAGCATCACATAGATTTGATGCAAATTTGTCAGCCGACTCTCCTTTTCCAACACATCCCAGAAAGCTCTACTGGAAATTTGATGACTGTGGAGGCTATTTAAGTATCGGGAACTCATTGTCATTTTCGGGAAACAAGCTGGAAATGATTTGATCTTTGTGACATGGTGTTTTCTCCTGGCCTAGCCTCAGCTTCTTCTTGTTCTTCTCTCTTCTGCTGCTGCTTTAAGGTTTGATGTGTTCAGACATTGGTTTAAAGATACTCTTCTCTATATCCTGGATGTAATGTAAAGAACCCTGGTCATTCTCCTCCGACCTCTGACATCAACAAGGCATTTTCACCCAGATAATGGGCGCTTATTGGATATTTTCTCTTTTTCGGGCTACTCTCCATAAACTCTAGAGATGGTTTTATGGAAAAAACCCAGCAGATCAGCATTTTCTAAAATGCTCAGTCCTGCAACAACAGTCCCTTAAATCACCTTCATTCTGATGCTCAACTTCAGCAGGTCACCTTGACCATGTCTTCACTTGCTGCCATATGTGTAATCAGTTTATTCTAATAAGTATTAAGAGTGAGCAAAGGTTTTAAAAATAGACATACATATTAAGAGCAGTTAGAGATCTTTTGAAAATATCATCATTACTTTGAGTCCTCAAGGTATTCTGAAGGATATTCCTGCATAATGTGAACACGGTACATTGTACAGATGCATACACAGTAGGGGGAGAGTAGTCGTGGAAGCCATAGGCGCTCTAAAAGTTGTTATGATGTTAATGAACACGACACACGAATGTAAATAGACATAAGCAAAAGAAATTATTTGCGGTGATTAATGAATATGCATGGGCATTAATTAAGTGGGAAATAGAATAAAGGATGTAGATGGTATAGTTAGGAGAAAATAAAGGGATTACCTCCACGATAAATGAAAGGACTAGACAAACAAAAATGGAAATAGTAAAGGTATTGGGAGGAAAGAAGAAAGCGAAAACTGTTAGTAACACTTGAAAAGGTATTTAGGTCAAAATTACATTTTTACCATTAAAAAAAATCATTAAGCTTAATGTGTTTAAATTACAGAAAATAATTACCTTTTATGTTTATGTGTTTAAAAAACTGCTGAGCTAGTGAACACTATTACTTCATTTTTGATACAGATGGCTCACACCTATTTTCTCTATGATTTATTTCCTCTGTTAAAAACATGCACCCTAAATAGATGGAAAATTTATAGGAATCTAAAATACGTAATCCTAATCTTATTAGAGCTCAACTATTTTGAGTGAATGCTTGAACAGACAGTCCCTACTTTCTCAAAGCCTCTGACACTCAAATACAAGAAGAAAGGTAGCTTAACATACTAAAGCAAGAACACAGTGTCAGCCTGCTCTGGAGGCTATTGTTTGCTATTCTTTCCTTCCTTCTATGCTGAATTATGCATAAGACTATTCCCTTCCTCCAAACCGTGGATCACATCACAGCTCAATCTGACACACAATAAACAAGTGTGCACTACAATGCAAAAGTAATACAAAGGTTAAAGTGATGCTTCCACCTCAGCAAAGAAGCGCTGTAACTTGTTCGCCAGACAAACTAGCATCAAATTCGCCCGTATTTGAAGTGCTTTAGCACATTGGTTGTGCAGACTGTACTATTACTTTTTTTCTGCCCCGCTATCTACCAAATGTTTCTTTGAGAACAGAGTAGGGTTCATCTCTACTTTCAGCAGATTTACACATTTTGAGGTTATATTTTTACAACAACCATAAATACAAAAAAAGTTAGGACGCTCTAAAATGTAAAACAGAATGTACTGAGTTTGGAAATCTCACAAACCCATATTATATTCACATTAGAAGACTGAAAACATATCAAAGGTTTAAACCAAGACATTTTTGCTTGTTTAGTATTTTTGATGGCAGCAAGACGGCTCAAAAAAAGTTGGGATGTGGGCTTCAAAAATTCAGTGGTACTAAACAGAAAGAGCTGGAGTCGAATTTTGCAATTAAATGTGTTAATTGGCAACAGGTCAGTAACAAGCGAAAGGCAGAGTTTCTCAGAAGTTAAGATGGGAAGAGATTCACTAATTTGCAACAAACTGTGTCTACAAGTTGTGGAATAATTTCAGAATAATGTAGAATTGTCAAGATCTTTGAAATGTAAGCATCTTCAGTACATAGTATGTATTAAAAACGGACATGAATCTGTTCAGAGGCTCAGGAACAAGAAATAATTGTCTGTGAACACAGTTCACCCTGCTATCACACAAATGCAGGTTGAATCATGCAAAGAAGGCACCACATGTACATATGATCCAGACACACCACCTTCTACTCTGGACCAAAGCTCATTGACAATATGCTGAGGCAAAAGTGTTCTGTGGTGAATTAAATTGAAATTTGTGCATCTTCTGGACTAAAGAATAACATTCAGCTTGGTATCGGCACACAGTTCAAAAGCCTGCATCTTTGATAGTATGGGATTTGTTAGTATCTGTGTCACTGGCCGCTTGGATGTCTGGAAAGGTGCTGACGGTGCTGAAAGGTGTGTACAAGTTTTAGAGCAACATATGCTCCCACAAACTAGTCTAGACTTTCACCAACGGAAAACATTTTTCTTAGAATGGTACATTTTCTCAGTTGAAACATCTGACGTGTTTTCTGTTGTAAATAAAATATGGGTTCATCAGATTAGGGAAAAAAAGAGCCCCAGCTTTTTTGGAAAAGGTGAAAAAAAGAAAAATGGTACTGCACTACCGGTGTGCTT